ATCCTTTTCTGAGATTTATTCTCAGAATTATAAAATGATAGTTTAGAAAGAGTTAATACCATAATGCCTTTCCTTTATTAAAGCACATTCCATTCTACTAAATTCCCTTTAGGAAATTACATTAGGACCGTTTGACTCAAAATTAAATTGCAGATACATCTGGGGTAAAATTTACCAGCTTTTGAGTGAAGCAGCTGTATTTCTTTAATATTTGCTTTCTATATGATTATATAATTCATAATTATTGTAAAATATTAAGAAAGCATGGAATAAGCAAAAACATCCATAGTCCCATTACATAGAAACAACTATTATTGACAAATTTTTAGATCACCTTTAAGTGTCTTTGCTAGACTTTAACATAATCGTGCACATATTTCATACATAAGGTTGTATCTTATTTTTAATGCAATATAATAAATACTTCCTGGTGCAACTGCAAAATCTTTATCAGTATCACAACAACATCTTAATATTATGTCATGTAAAACTCTAAGGATATACATAATTATCCCTGCTAATAAGTTATTTCTATTATTTAAGCTTCTGTATATCTTTAAAGTATGCTCATTTCAGCAACACATATACTAAAACTCTTTAAGTACTATGATGTAGCAGCTCAAATGGTTAAGATTGAAGGAAACTTGAAATAGGCAAGAAACTGCTTTTAAAACAGCTACTAATTACTAATGGCTATGAAAATCATATTAGAATCTCTAAGTAGTTTTTGCAGGGTTTGTTTTAGAGTTGCCTCACAATAAAAGTTCTAAAATTTAATTCTAAAATGTTTATATTTATGTTTGCTTGAGCTTGTTAAGACAATGGTATATATAAAGAACAAAGCAAAATTATTTCAAAGTTTCATAGTCCAGAAGTAAGCACTATAAACACTTGGGAAATATATTTTCATACATATCTATTTATGTGTTTCTTTTTCTTTCTTCCTTTGCCTTTCTCTTTCCAAAGTGAAAGAAAAGGAATCTTATTGTTTTGTAATCTGCTGTTTTTATTTAACATTATAACAGTTATTTTTCCATATTAAAAATATAGATCTATATTAACTTGACAGCCACATTGTACTCCAGTGTATGGATAATATATTGACTTAATCACTTATTGATGGACACTTGAGAGGCATAGAAGCTTTTTCTTACTAAATAATTCTACAGTTACTATCTTTACACATAAGCATGCATGTATTTTCTTTTCCTTATTGAGTTTATTGGTACATTTTAGGTATACAGTACAGCTACATTCATTATTGGGAATGCATATATTTTCTTAAATGTATTTGTCTCAGTATTTCCTTAAGTCAAAAGTAAAGCTACTATAGTAATATATATATAAATATATATATAAAATTTATACAATTTATGCTTGTACCATCAAACAAAAAACCTGCCCAATCTCTCTGCATTTTCATTAATTCTCAAATGTAACTTTTGTCATATAAATGAGTATTTTCATATTGGGAATATGAGATGCATTTTCCAGGCATAAAACTAAAGCACGAAATTTAAAGTACAATACATTAAATTTTATTATATATAGATAAATATTACTATGACAGAAAAATATTTTTAAACTGGAAAAACTATTTTTGACATACCTCATGTCTTGAGTGGTATTAAATCAATAGTTAAAATGTTTACTACTATTATTTTCAATTCTTTTTTTTTTTTCTTTTTGTACCGGAGATCAAAACCTTGAACTTGTAAAGCAGGCAGCAACACCGCTGAGCTAAATCCCTGGCCCTATTTTAAATTATTTTCTAAATGTGTCACCATCCATTGTTTACTAAATGTTTATGATTTTAATTACTTATATTACCTTCAATCATTTTATTATTTTAAAAATGTTTAAACTTTAATAAAATCTTTGGAAAGGACACTTGTATTTGCACAGTCTAACAAATGTTTGGTTGATTAATCTCATTCTTTGCTGCAAAGATGTTGCTACCTAAAGTCCTTTAAACTGTGCTCCTTATGCTCCGATGGCCACACCTACCTTCACAGCTCTCCCTGGGGAGTGTTGTGTGGCACAAACTAACCAGTGAGGGGATCTATGAAGTTTCTGAGCAGGAGCTTAGTACTTTCTGCTTGCATACACGTATGTTGATCTGTCATCACCATCCTCCAAAGCAGCAGGTGAAGTTTTCACTCACATAAATGTCAGAATGCTCATCTGCACTCTGCCATCAGACCCCAGCTTATCAGGAAGGGAAAACACACACACACACACACACACACACACACACACACACACACACACACACACACTGGCAACATTGCCCGATCCATGTCTCCAGGGCAGCATTGATACTATTCTTCTACCAGAAGTAGACAGAGATTTCTGGATGTTCTCATAAATAAAATGCTAGAGGCCATACCAACAATGTCCTTCACCTTTCCCCCTCTTTCTGTGACTTCCATGTGTATTACCACATACTTAATGCAATGGAATATTTTTCAGCAACTTCAGGGAAAGTGAAAGACGCTAGAGAAGCAGAAATGCCAGGCTGACAGCATCACGCTAGCATCCGCAGTACAAACTGTAATAGAGTGTCTTCCTTTTGCTTTAGGACAAGGAGCATCTGGGTTCTCAGACTTCTTTGATTTTTTTCAAAGGTGCAGAAGTTGTTTAAGGCTGTTCTCAGTTGTTATTATGATTTAAATCTAAAAGTCCCCAATGCCTCTTGTACTCATAGGTGGTTTTTTTAAGGTTATTGGCTTATGGTGGTTTACAGCTGACTTGCTGTTAGAAAGAGGGAGTGCTGGGAAGAGGGGGGGTCATTGAGGTGTGTCCTGGAGGGGCAGATCTCCCTCCCCAGTTTCTCCTCCACACTTTCTCCTTCCTGTTTTTCACACCATGAGCAGCTCTCCTCTGCCATACCCCTCTGTCATGCAGTTTTGCTATAGAGCCAGCCAACTATGGACTGAACCTCTACAAACTGAGAGATAAAATAAACCTTTCCACCTTTAAGTTGCAGGTGTCATTTATTTTGTTGTAGTAATGAGAAAGTGACTTAGTAATAATTAGAGCATTCCTTAGCACAATAGGTTCAGTTGCAGATGATAAATGATGGCATGTGCCTCAGGGTATTCTCACCCCTTTTGACAGAAAATTATGTATGTGAAAGTACTGTGTGTCTTAAATCTATAAACAGTGTCCACAAAGGAATCTGAAGCAAAAAAGAGATGAACATGTGAAGGATTTGGTGGCAATCCCTGAAGGCCAACCTAAAGGGATGGGAGTGACCAAGCCATGCCTAGTAAATAGCTTTTTATTATCATTATTAAATCATGCTCTCTTTTCTTTAACTAAGCAAAGACCTCTCCAACACAGCATCTAAAGACCATTTCATCCACTGCTCTCTTTGGCTGCCAGCCTCTTATCTCTCTCTCTTCAGCAGTGGTGAGGGGGATTCCTTTTTCTCAAGGAAGAGAAATCCATGGCTTGTTGCCCTTGCCAGTAACAAAAATTTTGGAGAGCTGGGTGGCAAAGCTGTTGCCATTGGCATCTTTCACATGAACCACATCAAAAGAGCCAGGACACTTCTCCCTGTTGGTCATCATGCCAATTCTTCCCAGATTAGCACCTCCGCTCACCATACACAAGATACCAGTGTTGAACTTGATGAAATCAATGATCTTGCCAGATGCCAAATCAATCTGGATGGTGTCACTCACCTTGATGAGCGGATCAGGATAGCAAATGGTGCAAGCATCGTGGGTCACCAGATGAGGGATCCCTTTGGTGCCCACAAAGATCTTTCTCACTTTGCACAACTTGTACTTGGCTTCCTCGGTGTAATACAGTGAATGGCAAAGCGACCCTTGGTATTGTAGATCAGATGGAAATGCTTTCCTGTCTTGTCAATACTGATGATATCCATAAAGCCAGCAGGGTAGGTTATATCAGTTCTGACTTTTCCATCAATCTTAATGAAGTGCTGCATGCAAATCTTCTTTACTTCATCCCCTGTCAAGGCATACTGAAGTCTATTCCTCAGGAAGATGATAAGAGGCAGACATTCTCTCAGCTTATGGGGACCAGGGGATGGATGAGAAGCAAATATACCAGTCAAGTTATACAGCATCCAATGCTTTGGAGCTGCCACACACTTCAGATGTGAAAGTACTGTGTGTCTTAAATCCATAAGCAGTGTCCACAAAGGAAGCAGAAGCAAAAAAAGAGATGAACATGTGAAGAATTTTGTGGCCCTCCCTAAAGGCCAACCTAAGGATGGGAGTGACGAAACCAAGCCTAGTAAATAGCTTGATATCCAATTGAGCAGTCAAACCCCAGGAAGTGTGAGCATGTTGTCATGAGCTTGCCTAAGTGCTGTGAGTGGCACTGTTAGAGACCAGGAGGTTGGCTCTGGTGGCTGAGTGTCCCATTCTCTTAATAACACCCTTAGAAAACTTTACATATTATACACCTGTTCTGTAACATAGCTTGTATTCAGAGGCAGAACACAGAAATGATGAATAATAACATTGTTATTAATGGTACAGTGTTTCTTATGTATCTTTCATCCTTTTCTTTCCTTTCCCATGCATGGTTGTCTGTTCACAGGTGCAGTTGAGTGTGTATATGTGTGTGCATATATACACAAGATATATAATTCATATATAAGCAACCTACTTAGTCATTCCACTAAGATGCTTGCAGAGGTAAGTTGTACAAGAAGATTTTGTAGTGATAAAATTAAGATCTTAGGTCCATTTAGTTCTTTAATACACTCTCTGTCATCTCTGTGTTAATATTCCTTCCAATATGGAGAATTTGAATACAAATTATGCACTGGACATATCTACCTTACTCCTATGCAAGATAATTATTTTTAGATATTTATTTAGAACAAGCCTCCCTGCTTGCTACATTTGCAGAAGGCTAAAATGGGTTCTACCTTTAGTTTACTCTTCATACATTTCTAGACTTTATGATATGTACAGAAAAATTATCAACTCTAATTTAAAATTGACCGTATATTTCAGACAAGAGAAGTATGTGCCTCATGATGGTGTATGAGTAAAACATATGGCAAGTCCTTTAATGGTGTCCTTGAGTCCAGTCCTTCCCAGCCCGATCAATGGTACATAAAGGTAATGGTAAATCTCCAATCTAAATAATTTTGGGAGAATTTTTTCCCTGCTTTTACCTATCACTGTCATGCTTGAATAATGTCCAGTACATTGATTCTTCATCCATAAGCATCCCACACAGTCCTCTAGTGCTTTCACTAAAATGAAAATCTTAACACTACTTATCTTTTCCAGTATGTATAAAGTTTGTTGATTGGTTGTCTGTACACTATCTACCCACTTACAAAGAGCCAAGGTGTTCCTAGCAATCATTGACATTATTGAATTAGTCATCTTTCCTGTCTCTGGACACAGTATCTAACCCCCACAGCTTAAAGGAGGAAAAGTTTAATTTAGTTCACACTTTAAGCAAATTTAGTCCATCGTTATATGGCTCCAAGGCAAGAATATCATGTCAAAAGGGCATGGCAAAGCAAAGCTGCTTAGTTCATGATAGCAAGGGAACAGAGCAGGGAAATAGTGGCAGAGAGGAATGTGCAGGGGACTTCATGTAGTACCAAAATCCATGCCTCCATCACCCACACATACACACCCTAGGAACACGCTATATGAACCTGCTAGGTGTTTATTAATCCAATGAAGTTGATATATTAAGATTAACAGTCAATCCATCACTTGTCAACTTCACAACCAAACAAAACTCTTTAAGCCACATTTATTTTCCAAATAAACACAATACTGAGTTCATAATTCTACCTAACAAAATATACCTATCCTGTGTATAACCAGAAACACAATAATTCCATTCCCAAAGTCTCAACAGTTCTAGTATTTTTCAGAAATCCAAGTCCAACTCTCCTGTGGAACTCAAAACAAACTCTTAACTGCGACCCTCTGTAAAAATAGAAAACAAGTTACATAATTTCAAAATATAAGGACACAGGATAAACATTTTCATTACAAAAGGGAGGGGATTGAAAAAAAATCGGACCAAAATAAGATTAAAATCCAGGAGGGCAAACATTAAATCCTATAGCTCCATGTCCAGAATCCAGAAATATGGTGGTAAAATGTGAGTTTCAAAGGGATTGGGTAGCTCCATCCCTATGCCCTTGCTGGTTGCAGCCCATGAGGCTTCTCTCTTGGGCTTTCCTTTGCTACTGTACCTTGCTGATGATTCTGGCATCTCTGATAATCTCTAGTTTCCTCTGAACCTTTGAATTCATCATATAGCTTCACACATTGCCCTCTCAGAGGCTCCTTGCTTGGCCTCCTGGACTTCCTTTGCAATCTGAGTGCAGGCTTCATTAATCCTACAACTCTTACATTCTCCATGACAGTAAAGCCAGCATCACATGGACAATCAAAAACCTGCTATCAGCAAAAACAGTAGCCAGGCCTCCTTGGATCATGGCTGCAGCAGCCTCAGAGTGCCTGTATGGCTGAGCACAGTGAAATGAAACTGAAGGAATCAATACCTTAGGAGGCCTTTCTCAGACAGGGAACCGGGAAATCTCAAATTTTATAAAAAAATTAAACTTTTACACCTTTGAGCCTGCTAGGATGAGTTCTTCTGATTCTTGAGATGTCCTCAAGGTATCTTTCCTCTTGTTCTTGTACGAAGTGCTTAGTTTCTTTTTAATAGTTATCCCTTCTTTAGCAACTACATCTCCTTTGGCCCAAAATTTACATGTTTCTTTACGGGCCAAATTTTAAGTTTTTAAATATATTTTGCTGTGACTTTTGCCCCCAGTTCTCATTATAAATTTGGCTAAAAGCAGTCAGCAGTATCCAAATCTCAGGCTGAATATTGGTCTGTCCTAAAATTTACTTTGCTAAATTAATTAGTTCATCACCCTTTATCTCAGTCTCCTGCAAAGTTTAGGTACTTGGGCATATATTCTGCCAGAGTGTAACACACATGCACTCTAGTCCAGCTGCCAATGAAGTCCTTGTTCCCATTGAGACCTCCTGAGCCTCACCTTTACTGACCTCACTCTGTTAGCATCCTGGCGATCTGAGCTCCAACCATAATCACCCATCAGTCACCCCCAGAAGTCTAAGGTTTCTCTAGCCCACTTCTCCAAAGGTTTCCAAACCACATGGTCAAGTATAATCATCAGAACCATCACACTCCAATTTCTCTATTAGTCAGCTTTTCCATCTCTGGATATAATACCCAACACCCACAACTTGAAGAAGGAAAAGTTTAATTTAGCTCATGGTTTGAAGAGTTCAGTCCATAGTCAGCTGGCTCCAAGGCAGGACCATTATGGCAAAGCTGCTTAGTTCATCACAGTTGGAGAAGAACATAGTAGGCAAACAGTACCAGGGAGGAATAGGCAAGGGCCAATACACTTAGTGCCCAAAGCCATACCTCTATGACCCATCCAGACACACCCAGGAGCACACTCTACTAATTTTCTAAGTGTTTTTTAAGCCGATGAAATTGACGTGTCAGAATTAACAGTCACAATTACTCATCTAGAATAAGTTCCAAGGCCACCTTCTTTGTGGCAAGCTATATGTTTACCACTACATCCTATATCTATGATGTACATAGGAAATAAAGTTTCAGGCATGTATGCTTATGTCCAGAAAACTACATCAAATATCTGAATTCTAGTATAGGAATTCAGGAGAAATCTTATTGGACACTATTTATTTGGAGTCTTTCTCTTTATCCAGGTAACAAAGAACTATGGCCAAAACACTTTGAAAAATTGCTTTCAGTACACTTTAATGTTTGATCCTGGCTTATTCCTTCTTAGAAACTGGAAAAGTAAGGCTACATTTAAATTCCAGATCATGCTTTTGCCTAATGTCTTAGTCAGTTTGTGCTACTACAACAAAAGGTCTGGAACTGAGGAATTGATAAGCAGAAATTTTTCACAGTTCTGGAGGCTAGAAAGTCCAAGATCAAGGCATTGGCAGATCTGGTGTCTGATACAGACTTCTCTGCTGCCAGTGGGATGCGGGGAGGGTGCTTGTTGTTGGAAAATGCTATATCACATAGCAGAGGAGAAATGGTAAAAGGGAGGGAGATAGGGCCCTCATGCCTCTTTCATGAGGATGCTAATGGATTCATGAGATTTTACTTTCATAACTAATCAGTCCTCTGCCTCTTAATCTTTTCACATTGGCTACTAAATTTTAGTATGTGAATTTTGGGGACACAGTCAGATTATAGCACCTAGTAAGAAATGAATGTATAATTTTAAATTATTTTGTTAAAATAATCTTTCATTAAGTTCAACATTTCCCATTTTCACTCAGGTAATGACTGACAAAGAGATTCTTTAGATAAAAGATAAGAACCATGTAGAGGTAATCCCCCAAATGGATACAGATTTTAAAACAGGAAAAGTTGCAGATAGAAGTCACACAAACAGCAGAGAATTGTGTGCACCTTAGCTGCAGCAGCCACCCTGGGATCAGTTAGGCCTTAGTTAAAATGAAATTTAAAAACATGCACACTCGATATTCATCCATTTTTAAAATTGTGCCGGGTTTTAGTTTCTTCTCATCTCTGAGCAAAATTATTCTTGTAAAAATAACTTGGTATAAGAAGAGAGATTTCCCTATACCACAGTCAGATTATTACATGAGAACAGTATATACCTTGGCAGACCACACTGACTTCAAGTAGGGAAAATAAACTGAATGATGCAAGAAGTTAAAAATTAGGACCACTGTGTATAGGAGACTTTTATCATCTTCCAAAAGCTACCCCAAATTAGTCATATTTTTTTTTCTTTCTCAACAATGAGCATTAGTAAACTTAAAGATCAAAGTCTCTTAAGAGCACCCATTCCTAGGTCATATATAGTGAACTTTGTCTGTGATCCAGGACTTCTATACATGAACGTACATGCAGATGTATAGGAACACACATACACAATCTGTTTATATGGGCTTTTTTCTTGCCTATTAGATCCATTACAAATCCGTTTTTAATGGGCCTCTCTGCATTCCAATAGAAATATTTCTGGAGCTCTCCTGGCTCTCACAACATTTGCTGGGAGCACATTTAATATGTTTTAGCTTTGCTGCCTGAAGATGGAATCAGGGACATCTACCTGCACATGACAGTGCTTTGGCTTTTGCAGTTGCAGAACTTAATGTATGTATCAGTAATGAAAATCTTAATTAAGAAAGCTGCATCATTGTCCACGAACACTCATTTTTCTCCCCCTGCAAAGCCCTTTGTGTATTGCAGTATATACCTGGTTCAGACAGACAGAGCCCTCGAAGAGCTTGTCTGGCAGATCTTCTCTTGATTATTAACAGCTAGCAAACGACAAAGTCTCGCTCTCCTTTTGTCTTGAAGCTGAGGCTTGGAACAGCAGAGCACACAATGTACTATGGGGCTTGTTTGTGTTTTTTTTTTTATCTTGCCTTTATTACATTGGTGGGTTTAAAAATCCAACAGTTTTCATCAAAAATAATTTAGGTGACTTAGTTTGGCCAAAACACTAGCAGATGCATATTTACACATATACTCTTAGGGAAATTTTCCATATAGAAACAATGTACAAACATGAGGGACAAGTTTGTTTGTTTGTTTGTTTGTTTTCGTACTGAGGATCAAACTTGGGACCTTGCACTTGCAAGGTAGGCAGAAGAACTGCTAAGCTAAATCTCTGGCAAGAAGGGACAGTTTTAAGCTATCTGACCTTGTTTCTTGTACCTTTGGCCTCTAGAGTCTGAAGACTACAATATCCTTGTTTATATGACCTTAGCAATTACTTGTTTTCCTCTACCAATGTGTGTGTGCGCCATTTGTCATTTTACACAAAAACTAAGAGACTTTGAATGATGAAATAACTTTTTAACAACTAACTACATGTGTAAAAATTGAAAGAGTTGTTAAGAAAGTCTTTTGAAAAGTGACCTATAATTATGTTTATGAAATAATTGCCAATTGTAAAATTTTAATAATGTGGGGAGTGATCTTTTAAGTAAAAATTCATTTAAAATTCCTTTAAAAGCCTTAGAGCATTTCACTTTTATAAAATAACAATTCCTGCTACTAATTCTTTGATAACCTTGGCCTAAAA